AGCCCGGCCGCCCGCTCCGCCCCAAGTCCGAGCCTCGCCGCGCTAGCCGGGCGCGCAAGGAGCGCGGCTCTACCAGGCGCGGATCCCATGCAGCGTGGAAATGCCCGCGTTGCCCTGCGGGATGGGCGTTTGCACTGAATTCAAGTCCCCTACCCCGAAGTTCATGAAGTTGTTGCCGGCCGCGGAGGGCTGCATGGTCTGCATGGAGGGGTAGTTGTAGTTGGCATTGCAGGCGGGGCTGTTGTAGTTGGTGTACGCAGGGTAGGCGTTGTAGCTGTAGGGGTTAATGCTGACATTGTACGGCGAACTGTAGGGAGAAGACTCCCCTAAGCAGGGCTTCCCATCGCGCACCAGAACAGGCACCGCTATCCGCCGGGGCGGTGGGATCCCCACCATTTCGAGGGTCTGATCCTGTCTCTGCCTTTTGCATTTATACCTTCTATTCTGGAACCAAATTTTAACCTGGGTAGAGGTGAGCTTTAGGACATTTGCTAGATGGTCTCTCTCGGGGGCCGAGAGATACTTCTGCTGCTTGAACCTTCTCTCCAGTTCGTAGACTTGGGCTTGAGAAAAGAGCACGCGAGGTTTCCTCCTCTTCCTTTGTCTGGGGCGCTCGGGATCTTCCAGGTCTCTCTTGTCCTGCTCCAGGCTCTTGTGCAGGGAACACAGTTCTGCAGCAAAACAAATGAGCAAAGGAAAAGGGAAGGCGAAAGAAAAAAAAAAAAACCCAAACCAACCAACCAAACAGCCCAGTGCTCAGTAATCTGCGTGCACCACCACGGAGCACTGCGCCGACTTCACGCCCGGACTCTTCCCCCAGCCCTCGCGGCCGGCTCGCAGGGGCCCGGGGCACTGCAGGTCGCCGCTGCGGTTCCTGCTCTCTGAGCAATTTTCCGTCAATATATTTTTCATCGAAGACAGGGACGCTCCGTGCACCCATCTGAATCTCGATCTCCTCGGACACAGCCTTGGTGCATGTGGCCTTTGTGTGGCCTTTACGCTGATTCCCACCGCGACCGCGCGGAGACAGGCTCAGCCTAGCTATTTAGAAACAAGGTCTGTTGCCTAATTTCTCTCGGGACAAGCTGGAGGCCTTGCGCAGAGTCCTGCAGCTCTGCCCGTGCCCTGTTTTGCAGCAAACACCGCCGAGGCGGCCGCGGCCCCAACCGCTCCGGGGGGCCCTGGCCGCCGTGTCCC